TCTTCACCAGGAAACAAAGAGATTCAAAATGAACCAGGTACTGTCATCCTTTCTCGTGTGTGTGTGTGTGTGTGTACTCTAATCATAATAGTCTTAAAAAGCCAGCCCCAACTGCCCCAAACAAAGCAACTGTCATAAAATCTGAGAGCAATAGCATTTTTCTAGCCCAATCCAAATCAAACTCTAAAGTGACAGCCTTTTTCCAATTGTCAATCTTTTTCCAAATTCCCTTTTCCCAACTGTCAATCTGCTGTGCAAATAATGCTTGGCTTGTGGAAGCGCCTCTGAGTCATGGTAAACATCCTACCCTTGAAAGCTTCCTTCTTTGGTCTGCAGACAGAAGCAGCTGCAGTGTGCACAGCGATCCTTTATTGCCTAGGCAACCAGACAAAGCTAGTTGCATTCCTGTTTGCCCCTCCTCTCTCTCCCCCCCCCCAAGTGGTAGCCCAAACAGCTAGAAAATCAACACAGGTTGGTACGATAGATTCACTGAAACAGCAAATTACTGGCTCAGTTTTGTGGATTTTTAAATCAGCCGTTGTTTCGTGGCTCGAGTTGGAAGCCGTTGATATGTCCGCAGGAAGCAAGATGGGTCAGGTGTTTCATCATTCCAAAGTGCTCAACCAAGACCAGCTGTGAAGGCACAACGTTTTGGTACTTGGGGCAACTGTCTCATCTGGATAGATTGTTATGCTCCTAACACGTATACTGGAGGGAGACAGAGCTCTTTGGAAGTTATTGAATCTGTCGCAGAGATCCGTCCTCTAAGCTAGCCTCTCATCTTGATTCAGGGCATCTGATTATCTGATGCGTTTCTCAGCTGACAACCCTTCAACCCCTCTCTCATTATTCGAAGGAGAGATGGTCCTTCGAGAGGACAAACTTTTCCAGACATAAACAGATGTACAACATTCCCCTGTGAATGTAGTCTGGTAAATGGAATAGCCTCCTGTCAGGATGAGCAAAAGATCTTGTTTCTGAAGGCCATTCTGTGAATAGCTGGAAATGATCTTCAGAAACTCATTCTGTGTATGAGCTAATAGGATTTTTATACAGTCAGCATTCGGCTTTATTTTGGATCACTCCTCGACACACCAGAAGCAGGATTTCAGCAAACAACCATCCAAGGAGGCCACAATTTCAAACTTATTCAAGCAGGTTGGGCTTTTAGAGTCTGTAGATGCAGCTGCTGGCATTGGCTGATGATGCAGTTTGTGTCGACTTTGGGTAAAAAGCTGTCAGGTATCAAGTTGCCTGTCACTGACACTGCAAATGGGGCTGGGGGGGGGAGGGGAAGGCAATGATTTGTGCTCAGTTTAATTCCCGAAGATAAAAACCTGTGCTAAAATAGCTTTTCCCTAGAGCTGGAAATGAAATTATACAAATATTAGCCAATTTATCAGATCAATTACTGGTTTAAGTAATGCACTCCTTCTTCCAGTGACATCCTCTCTGTTCCTGTAAATTCAGGCAATGTGAAATGGTGAGCTCTGAAGACGCTGTTAGATATTGCTTGGTTAGAGTGCAGTGCTGATGATGCCGAGGTTGCAGGTTCGATCCCTGTATGGGACAGCTGCATATTCTTGCATTGCAGGGGGTTGGACTAGATGATCCTCAGGGTCCCTGAATCAAGGCTCTATTCCAGTACTATTTGAGGTGGCTAGTAAATATGTGGCTATTTCAAAAAGCCATTTTGCTGATTATTTTTCTTTCTAGTTTATCTTTGATGTTTTAGTTCTTTGATTTTTTTGGAATTTGTTGTGGTTTCGGTTTATGATGTTTACAATGTTAGCATTTTGATCTTATGATAGATGTTGGAAAGGGGACTGCTATTTACTTGTCATTTATCTATTATTTGTTCTTTATGTATCTCAGTACGGTATTGTTTCAGTGTTGCTATGATGTTTGAATTGTTAGTTGCCTTGAGTTTCTTTGGATAATTAAGTTAAGACGAATGTTTTTCTACATAAATAAAATCAAGGATGCCAATGCTAATCTTATTTCTTCGGCAGTCAGTCCCATAGAAACAAATGAAATGTCTGAATACACATGTTTAGTACTGAGATGCAAGTGATAAGGGCTGCAGTCGAAAGCACACTTACTTGGGAGGAACACCTGCTTAACTTAGTGGGATTTACTACTGAGTAAGCATGTGTAGGATTGAACTGAAAGTGCTCATTGGGTTTTTAGCAGGGCAAGGAAGGAATACACTTTGACCACTGGGTTTGTTTGCATGGCAGACCCAGATCATTTCAGATGGTCTCTATTTTAAACACTAAATCAGGGGTCAGTAAACTCCTGCCCTCCAGATGTTTGGGACTACAATTCCCATCACCCCTGACCACTAGTCCTGTTAGCTAGGGATGATGGGAATTGTTGTCCCAAACATCTGGAGGGCCAGAGTTTGCCTATGCCTGCACTAAATCATAGATGGGCAACTATATCCAGCCAAGGGCCGCATTCCTTCCCAAGCAAGCTTTCAGGGGCCACATGCCAATGTTATTGTAGGCTACATTGCAGTTGTGCAAGAGTCAGAGGTTTGTACACACATGCACCACTCCTTCCAGGTAAGCAAGATGTATTTTCCGAAATGAAGAATACTTCCTTGCCAGGCAATAGCGCTTGAAGAAGGCCTAGAAGGAGAGGGTGTGTCCTAGGGAAGGTCCCTGGAGTCAGGTAGATAATATTGTGTGGAATTGTGTGGAATATTTGCTGTGCAATAGTCTGGACACCTATTGGAAATGCTTGTGACATCACTAGTGAGGAGTGATTCTCTTCTTCCCACTCCCTAGTCCTCTTTACTGTGTGAACTTTTCTTTCATCTCCTTTGAAGGCTGAATGCCTCTCTTCCCCTGCTTACCATTCCAGGCTTACCTAGTGAAATATTTTTTATGTTGAGCTCTCCCTGAACTCAGGATCCCCCTTTTTTCCCTCAGACTCATTATTCATGAATAAGAGTGACCTCATTTAGACTTGTGGCTTGCATTTGAGTCAAATGTTAGAGGAAATGGGGAGTGGGGAATACAACATTGTGCTATTACAATTGTTCCATCAGTGGAGGCATTTCTGGTTGCCAGACAGAAAGATCTCTCCTCTCGTTCCCCTACACGCTCCTTTTGGAGGTTCTCTTGAACCCACAGAACCAATTTTGGGGCATATATGGGGAAAGGAGAGGAGAGAAGCCCTGTTGTGCTGGCAGGAGTCATTGCAGTCATCCCACAAGTGCAACTATTTACTCGATTCTGACTCCAAAGTGTTTATTTAATGCTTGGACTTAATTTATTCGTAAGATTCCTTACCTGCCCTGAACTATACAATCCCAAGGTGGGTTACAACAATATAATATACAATTTTGAAAGCAGATCCAAATTCAGCAAAGGAGATGAGTCCCACACACCAAAACACCTTAATTGTAAACCAGCTGTTTCCCAGCTCACTAGCAGCAGGGAGATTTTGAGGCCCAGGAAGAAAGAATCTGAGCTTTAGAAAGTGTGCGGGATGCTTATTTTAATATAATAATAATAATAATAATAATAATAATAATAATAATATATTATTTATATCCCACCCATCTGGCTAGGTTTCCCCAGCCACTCTGGACGGCTTCCAACAAAAGATTAAAAATACATAAAACCATCAGTCATTAAAAACTTCCCTAAACAGGGCTGCCTTCAGATGTCTTCTAAACGTCAGATAGTTGTTTATTCCCTTGACATCTGGTGGGAGGGCGTTCCACAGGGTGGGTGCCACTACCAAGAAGGCCCTCTGCCTGGTTCCCTGTAACTTCACTTCTCACAGTGAGGGAACTGCCAGAAGGCCCTTGGAGCTGCACTTCAGTGTCAGGGCAGAACAATGGGAGTGGGGACACTCCTTCAGGTATAAGGTAAAAGTTCAGGTAAAAGTTATTTTAACATGATCCTTGTGTATCTTGGCTTTCTTGTGCTGCTCAAAATGGACTAGACAAAATGGCCAACCATTCCATTCCATACCAGGCCGATTCCCCTCAGATCACTGTTGCCAGGAAGTTCCGCAGGAGTCATCCTATCCTTTGCTTCCCTTCCCCAACCTCTTCTGAATGTGGAGGTGGCAGAAGTGTTTGAACATCGTGCAACTCAGGTACGTGATCACAACTGATTGCTATTTTCCCCTGGTGAGCAGGCAACTTGCAATTGGGAAGCCTGCATCAAACAAATGCTGGCATAATGGTGTGACGGAACTACAGCATTTGCATAGATAACAAAGTCATTGCCCCTGGAAAAATGCGCAGGTGTACATTTTCCTGCACTTTTCTCATTGCTATCAATTCTAAAAATTGCAACATAAGCAATCTCCTGGGTTCTCTTGATAATTGGGATAATGGACATTAAGAGCCAGACAGGCAACGTGGTCTGGTAGATTTATTGCCATAATTAATTACAGAGGGAGACTCTATAGGTGAAGCATCCTGCAAGGAATTGAATGTACTCAGGCATATGCATATAAAACTATATTTTCATACCACCTATTAGTTCCTATGATGACTTTAAAGATGATTTCTGATCAAAGCAGCCTGCAATCAAATCTTACTATAATTAGTGCAGAAGCCAAAAAGCTTCTAACGACCAATTTAAAATGTATCTGGTTAATACCTTACCATTTATTAGTAACGTATTGAACACCTTGTCTCAAATTCTAAATTGGCTTAAGGATTGCCAAATTGCTCTTACAAAATTACTTTTTTTCTAAGAGAAGGAAACATAACTGGGCCTGAGCAAATCTATTACAGTGGTATCTCGGGTTACAGATGCTTCAGGTTACAGACTCCGCTAACCCAGAAATAGTACCTCGGGTTAAGAACTTTACCTCAGGATGAGAACAGAAATCGCATGCTGCCGGTGCAGCGGGAGGCCCTATTAGCTAAAGTGGTGTTTCAGGTTAAGAACAGTTTCAGGTTAAGAACAGACCTCCAGAATGAATTAAGTTCTTAAACCGAGGTACCACTGTACTTATATGTCTGTGGCACAGCAAGGAGGGGGTGTCTATCAAATGTATGTATTCATGTATGTATTTACAGTATTTATAGACTGCTAATGCTTTTCAGGCAGACCTCAGATTAGATGGAAGTCGTGGAGGAATCTTTTCTGAGCTTACCTGGAGTTGTTCAGTTCGAGGCTGGTGCCTTGACTAATTTATGAAGGCAACATTGTGAATCGTGTGCAATCCTGAGCCTATGCAAGCTGATGTGCCAAGCCAGCTGTAACTGTGACAAATGGAAGACTGAGATGGAAATGCCACCTAAGAGCCAAGAGTCGGTCCTTTCCTTGCAAAACAACATGTCGTTCCTTACCATCTGCCTGCCATCCTCCTTGAATATTCATCTCTGTGCATGCCCTTCCCCTCTTATTCCTACCCTCACTTTTTCTTTCCATCTGCCTTGCTAAATCAAAGCCACTTTATTGTGGACATAATTGCCATAATAGATAAGAAGCTTTTTGGGGGTATGTTTTAATCCTCAAGAAGATTGGAAGTAGAGAAGAATGAAGGACGAGAGAGCAAGGCAATTACAGATGAGCACACCAAAGGCAGAGACTAATGCACCATGAAACTGGTGACTGGGGGGCATGTTCCAGCCTGCAAGACGAGAGCTCGGGTCCAATGAAGGTGAATGGAAATTGCATACATAAAACCCAAGGGTGGGAATGGAATGAGGATTCCGCTTCGTTAGAGCTGTACGTCAGTTCACTTCCAATTGGTTCTGTATCTCCTTTCTTCAGATTTTCCCCCTCTTGCACTTTCAGTGATTCTCATAAAGAGCAGGGAATTACGTACAGTGGCCTAGTAGTAGCAGAGTTCTCAAGCATTTTCGTCAACCCTGAGTCATGACCACTGCTGGCTGAGTGCCTCTCGTATTCAGAATCCCGCACATTATGGAAATGTGTACAGTCATACCTCATGTTATGTCCACTTCATGTTATGTTCTTTCAGGTTATGTCCCGCAGCGACCCGGAAGTACTGGAAAGGGTTACTTCTGGGTTTTGTCGCTTGCTCATGCGCAGATACGCAGAATGACATCACATGCAAAATGAAGTCACGCGCATGCGCAGAAGCGGCGAATCGCAACCCGCGCATGCGCAGAAGTGCCACTGCAGGTTGCGTTCTTTTCATGTTGCAAACGGGCCTCTGGAACGGATCCCGTTCGCAACCAGAGGTACCACTGTATATTGATTACCTAGAGGGGGAATATGAGATGAAAGGCCTGCATTTTCTCTTGGTCACAGAAGCTACAGTGACTGTGTGGTTGAGGACCACAGGCATAGAATAACAGGATTGTAGAGTTGGAACGGACCCCAAGGGTCATCGAGTCCAACCCCCTGCAATGCAGGAATGTTAGCTAAAGTATCCAGGACAGTTGGCCATTCAAACTCTGCTTTAAAACTTTCAAGGAAGGTGAGTCCACAACCTCCCAAGGGAGACCATTCCACTGTTGAATAGCTCTTACTGCCAGAAAGTTCTTCCTGGTGTTTAGTTGGAATCTATTTTTTTGTAACTTGAAGCCATTGGTTCGAGTCCTACCCTCCAGAGGAGGATCCACACAATTACTGAAGGCACTTCCAGATCATGTAAAAGCAGGTGTGGGGAACCTTTGGCCCATAATAATAATAATAATAATAATAATAATAATAATAATAATAATTTATTTATACCCTGCCCATCTGGCTGGGTTTCCCCAGCCACTCTGGGCGGCTTCCAACAAAACACTAAAATACAATAATCTATTAAACATTAAAAGCTTCCCTAAACAGGGCTGCCTTTAGATGTCTTCTAAAAGTTAGGTAGTTATTTTTCTCTTTGACATCTGGTGGGAGGGCGTTCCACAGGGTGGGTGCCACTACCAAGAAGGCCCTCTGCCTGGTTTCCTGTAACTTGGCTTCGCACAGCGAGGAAACCGCCAGAAGGCCCTCGGCGCTGGACCTCAGTGTCCGGGCAGAACATTGCTAAACTGCATTTCCCATTGTTCCTGGCCATTATCCATGTTTGCTATGGCTGATGGGACTTGTGGATCAATCTACCACCTCCATCTCCAATCCTTCAATGTCTTTACCCATGGTTTGGTGGGTATATTGGAGGTGCTATGCACCTCTGTCACAGCCCCACCCACATCAACTCTAGCCAAGCTGTGCTTTCTATGGGTGCAGCTAAATCCTGCCACAGAGGCACCTGCTGGACTCAAGTAGTGCAGCACCTCAAACATAGTCGCTGTCAGTGTAGTCTAAAGCAGGTATGTGAAATATGGAGCCAGAATTCATCCACTGCCTCTCAAAACGTGGCAAACATTGATAACTCAGGCAGATGTTTTGTACCTAGCATGCAACACTTCCCTCCACAAGCTTGCTGTTACATGATTAGCCTCGACTTTTATCGATTTGCTCCTTAAGAAGCAATCTCACAGGTCCACAAATGTTCCACCAAGCATTTTCCCTGAAGGAGGTAAGACTAGATATCTTTGATGATAATAGCAAGGAGTAACAGGAATCTTTCTTTAATCCCCCCCCCCTGCAGTCTGAATTCCTTTAAGAGGTACAGAGCCCAGGGAAAAGAATGCCATTGCAAATATAGAACCTGATGCCATTTAGACAAACGGCTTCCTTCACCTCATTAGCATTCCCAAAGTGGACGAGGCTCACCAATGTGCAAATACATGCTCCTGTGAGTTTGCTAGACAAAGCCAGCCTCTGCGCCACCAAGCAAATTTGCTTCTTTGATCGATCTGGCCTGTTGCAGCCACCTTACCCTGCCCTTGTGTGCCACAGAGAACTGCAGCAATTTTAACACATCAATGCATTGCACTGGGGGAAACGAAAAATCCATGGCTATTGTTATGGGTCAACACACCAGCAAAACAGACTTCTTGCTATGTTTCGTGAACTGCGCTGGTGGGAGTGACTCGAGCTCACTCAAGAGGACTGGATGCCAATAGACGGAAGAGATGTATGCTGTGGTGAGTAATGGGTGTATTAAAAGTGGCAGCTCCTCACTCCCTGAATTAGGAAGGTGGTTGCACAATACTATAACCTTTCCTAAATAGGAAATATAATCCAAAGTAATGTGAGGAGATCAAAGTCAATGTGGCAATGTTTTCAGCCAAAGAATTACCAACTAATCCTACTAAGTTTCTCAGTGCATACTAATAATGAGTTGTGTCCTGATAATTTCATTATAATGGCTACTCTGAAGAGAACTAATGAGCTCACCTGAACTAGAATGTTAACCTGCTCAGCTTTATTAATAAATGATCGCAGCTTATTCCTTGTGTGAGGTAAATGATCCCATAGAGAATATTAGCATTTTATAGACTATGCTTAGGATTTTCCTCTGATCTCTTTTTAAAATTCATTTGTATTGATTTCCGCCCCCTCCCTATAGAGAGTACCTATATTTGCGTTAACTGTAATGCACGGTGATAAAAACATCTAAAGGCTCCTTTCTTCTGGTGATCCAATAAACAAAAATTACGGAATTGAGATTTCTCTTTCTTTCTTTCTTTCTTTCTTTCTTTCTGCTGTTTCATTTATGCTGATCTGTGAAGTAAGATTATGTGTTCTTTATGGCTTCCTTAGAGAAGTTTTGAAATGCCATCGAACCCAGATTGGAAACAAAATGCAATCAATTTTCCCTTCCATTGCTACTTACATATCTGATAACCTATGAAGAAAGAGATGTTGGGCGGCAGCGGGGGGGGGGGGGGAGAAAACACAAGGCACCCACGTCTGGAACATGGAATAATTGTGTCAATTGAGAAATACAAATCTCAAAGTGATGTAATTTTTAAAAGGGACATAGCATGCCTTTGTAAACGCCAGGGCAGCCTTCTGGAAACCAAGTACGCATCAGTTTTTGAAGCTCGCCAGTTACCATGGTTACCACTACATGGGCTCGGCTTATTTATAGCGATGCACTACAGACAGTGTCTTCCTGAAGGAAGGAGAGAGAATTCTGACCTAGAAGGAACATGAGGGCTGCTTGTTAGAAAGTATGAGATGGGAGGAGGAGGAGAAGAAGAAGAAGAAGAAGAAGAAGAAGAAACAACTGCCTAGTTAACTACAGGGATCCCTAGAACAACAGTTTAATTCTTCCCGAAAGGTGAATGTAGAAGTCAGTCACGGAAGGGCTACTCAAAAGTCAGCTTAATATAAGACACTTGTATTATTACTTTCTTACTTATTTATTTATATACCACTTATATGCCAAAAATGGCCTCTAACCATTTAACCCTCACACAATTAAAATACACCCTAACAATTCCACTAGAACATTAAAAAATCCCTAATGGCAGTTTTCGAGAAAACGGGCCCCTTACAAAGGGTAACAATTAAAACATCTGAAAGAGCAAATAAAACAATAGGATCAGGAAGCTTGAGGTCAGTGGAATGGTAGCCTGATCTATTCCGCCAAAAATCAAGTTCTCTGAAATTTGCACCCCAATTGCTCTTTTTTAAAAAGCAACTACGATTCTCATTTCAAGAGACGAACAGCAGATGTGACCACATTTTCTTGCCTATATTTCAGTGGTTAAGCATATGAATAAACCAAACTTGGGACATGCTCTTTCTAACTAAGAGGCATAGCTCATGTCTTTGGTTCCAAAGGCCACAATGGAAAATGTGGTGGATTATTAGAAGGCTTGGCGTGTTTGCATATTGCTGGCCAGGTGGGGCTCATTAGCTCTGGGAGAAGTTGTGTGATTCCTTGGCTGGAAGAAGCTCAGGACAGGTGAGGACCTCACTCCTCATCAAGCCCAGATGCGGCAATCAGCATGCAAAGTACAAAAGGGAAGCTTGGATGTACCTGGACCTCTGTGGGACTGTGTTCCAGGTTTGACTCTGGACTGTATCCCTACTGCTAGACTTCAGACTTGGTTTATCTGGATTTACCCTGGACTGCCTTTCCTGATCTTTGGACTTTGCTTGTGTGGACTGACCCCTGGACTTTGGACCTGACATACTGACTTGCTGCCAGGTAGGCCAAGGGTACAGGGCACTTTTTAAGTGTAAAACTACTCCAGGGCATGGATGATACCTAGCTCAATAGAATTTACTGTCTGTTATGTTCCTGATTATTTTCTCAGTTTCCAGTATTCGTATTTTCTGCCTTTCCCCCTGAAAGCGACTCAAGGCAGCTACAGCTAAAATTTTGTTTCACTCCATTTATCTGTCGAAGGTGTTTACACGATCGCTTCCCTCACACAGTTCTACTTTACAACAATCTGTGAAGTAGTTTTGGCGGAGAGGTTGTAAT